TATAATATAATATAATATAATATAATATAATATAATATAATATAATAATATTTAGTAAAGTTTTTACTGTCTAGTTATAATTCGAAGTTGACAGATAAATATGGGCCAGGGGAAAAAACACCAGAAACCTACTTAGGTTTATTTATTTAGGTTTAATTTTTTTTTATTAATGCTCACTAAAGCTCACATTACAACCCCAGATAATTTTCTCATTCCTTACTTACTTGTCCTGTCCTTGGTTCTTCTATCATTGCTTTGTCCAAGTGCAGTAATCCAGCGAGCTCTCTCATTCCTAAAGAAGGGGAGAAACATTATGAATGTTTAATTATCTTCCTCTTTTTAATGACATGTATATATTTATATTACACGTATTTTAAAAGATCTAGTGTCCACACTTCCCTTTTAAAGTGACATGGGAGAAAGCAGTACATAGAAGCTCCTGAAGAAAACAGATCATTTAGACCTGTATTAATTGGAATTTAGAAAGGTTGCACTGATAAGACTAGGACAGAAGAGAATGATCCTCTTAAATCTTTATGAATCTCTCTTTGACTTTTGATACCATAAATATATGTGTGAACTGTACAGGAGACTCTGGAGTGGGCAATACCACCTCGTGCTACTTCTTGTTTCTTAAGTGGCCAGTATTAGTTGGCAGGGGCGGGGAAGTTTAAACTCTCAAGGGCGGGGGAGGTTAAACTCACAGATGCTCTGGGAGGTAATTCATTAGCATGGAATAAAGTTACTATCTTTATGTTGATGTTACCTGCATTCAACTCTGCCCCAGGCCAAAGAAGTGACTCAGTAGAGGTGATTAAGATCTGCATTGGGACAAAAGTGCACAGAATGGCTGCAGATGTGAAAACCTTTTAAATCTAGAGAGAATGATTAACTAAATTTATATGCCACCTTATTTGATGACTAGGCGGCAAACAACAATTAACAAAGATTATTTCAATGAAATCCATAAAAGACGTCAAAGTCAATGAAGTGGGAGTCTCACTCTTCCTCACCGAAGGGTTTGATAGTGGGCCACCTCATCTTAATAAGAGCACAGTGGGGGCTATGCATATCTTGGGGGGGGGGGAGGATCTCATTCTAAGAAGGTAGGTGGTGCTACAGAGAAGGTACCTTTTCAGAAGCCCAATACAATTAAAATCAAAACTTGGTTTTAATTGAAGGAATCTGAGCACCCCACCTGCAGGATCAAATTAGGTAGGAAGATGTTATGGTAGATAGGTGTTTCTTTAAGTAACCTGTAGGTAACAATCAGCATCTTGTATTCCACCTGGAAGCAAGCAGTAATTAGTGTGGTAAGGTGAAGGTGTTCTCATGGCACTTCAGGAACCCTGTCTTCTTTGTCGCAATATCTAATCTCTGGAATAACATCTTTTCAGAGACACAGATAATTCCTGCCCTGACGGGAGCTATTGAAGACCCAAGTTGTTCTCCCTGGCTCTGGGATAGAATAAATTGACCAATTTAATTTGGTCTTTATTTAATTTGGTCTTTATTTAATTTGGTCTTTATTTAATCTCCCTCAAATATCTTCGCTACACCTTTTTAAATTATGCTTTGGTATTAAAACAAAGCAAAAATTTTTATGTAAAAGACATTGTTATTTATTCACAACACTGCTAATGCAGTAAGAAAATATAGCCCATGGAGTTATTATTTGCTTGCTAACAAAAAAAACAAACGTAATTATGTCTTGAAGGTGCTTTGTTTGTAATACATGTAGGGCAATTCCGGAAACAGAACTCCATGGATCAGCTCAAAAAATAAAATCACTTGGGTACATAAAGAAAAAGCTATTATATATTAAAGTGATTTTAAGTTTTAAGACATCAGAAAATAGGTAACTACACTTATGTTAATGATTCTTGTCATGTCATTTGAAATACAGCACAGACATCTAAGCAATATTAGAAGAAACTTCATTTCTTCCAATGAAGAAGTCTGGATAATTAGACTTTAAAAGACTGAAGTGGGATAGAAAAGGTTTAGTTATGCCAATTTCCAAACTGGCTGAATTTACCAGGGGCATTCTGGCATTTTAATCTAATAACATTGCAATATTTAATCAGTAGATCTATAGCCATCCTATAGGAATGTGCATCTGTCTGTGTATCTCACAATGCGATGCTTCATGGTTCATTTTAATTTTTAAGATGGAAGAAATGTCCTAACGCTACTGGGCAAAAATGTACAGACTTTTATGCAGATACACAGTCTTTTGCTTTCCAGATTCCAGAAACAGATTTAGACCTTTAGTTTTCAGCAAGCTACTCAGATGCACAAAATGGAACTTTTTTTAATGGAATCTGAAACATTGAAAACAAGATGCTTCTTGTTGTTGCTTTCTCGGGATGAATAGTCTTTCAATGTAGTCTAGCCAAACAAGGAAGGGGAGCTTCTTTTATCATCTCCTTTTTCCAGACTACATAGAATTCAACAAGATAGTTTCCATGGCTTCCCTGCAGTCTGCAGTTAACATCTGAATTATAATGTTTATTTCTTAGGAAATGAATGTGTATGAAATGAATGCAATGTTTAGGCTGAACCTCTTAGAGGCAAAATGAAATTTAAATAAAGGAAAAGAGATTTTACATCACTATTATTATTATTTTTTACAAATAATGAATGTAATAAACATAGTAAAGGAACAAATAGTACCGTGATGCCTTTACAATATATATACAATATACATACATACATACATACAGTATATGCTCTTCTCATAGGCAAAATTAGCAAAGACTCTCTTGGAATCCCAAAGTCTCAAATCAAAGAAGGCATGAAGTTGCTATTCAAACTTAAATGTTTTAATCATGAGTATATAAAAAAAATGTGGAGACTCTAGAAAGAATGCAGACAAGAGGAACAGAGTTGATTATGGGACTGGACACAATATATGTGTTTACATAGATTGCCATGATATAAAAAAGATACGGAGACTAAAGTGCAGAGATAAGCAACAAAGATGATCAGAGGCTAAAGCATATGAATAATGGTTGCAGGAATTGGGAATGTATAGTTTAATGAAAAGGACTAGAGGTGACATGATAGCGGTGTTCCAATATCTAAGGTGCTGCCATAAAGAAGAAGGAGTCAATCTTATTCTCCAAAGAACCAGAAGGTAGAACAAGAAGCAATGGATGGAAACTAAGCAAGGAGAGAAGCAACCTAGAACTAAGAAGAAATTTCCTGAGTTAGAACAATTAATCAGTGGAATGGCTTGCCTCCAGAAGTTATGGGTGCTTCAACATTGGAAGCTTTTAAGAAGAGATTGGACAACCATTTGTCTGATATGTTATAGGGTTTCCTGCCTGAACCGTGAGTTGGACTGGAAGACCTCCATGGTTCCTTCCAACTCTAATTCTAATTAACTTGATAATATGTATTGTCTGAAAAATCTGTAATCCTATGATAGCTACTAACAAGAAAATAAGCAAATTAAAAATAATTTAAAAGTATGTAATTATTATGTATTTGCAGAATAAATGTGAACAGAAGCAGAAAAAATATATTACAATACAATGGATGGAAAAGTCTTGTTCCAGAATCCCAGATTTAAAAAGCAAATAGAAAAAAATTACTTACTGAGTGACATTTACTTACTGAGTTTCAGTTCCCAAAAGCAGTTCAATCTTCTCTCCTGCATGGTTACTCAGGGCAGTTAATCTGAAGAGGTGATTGGTAGAACTCTGCCGAGAGTAAAGCATCGGTGTGCTGCTTTTTACTGGAGAGGAATTCTGTTCTTCATTGTCACATTGCTCAACTAGTAACTGGTCCCTTAAAGAGTAATCTGTAACATTGTAGTTCTCATCACTGTCAATAAAGGGAACCAAAAGAGACAAGTCAAAGGGAGCTTAGATTCAAATCAATGCTAAACATGTCAAGTGAGCAACAAAAGGTCTAGAGAACAGTCCACAATGCCTAATTTTCAGACATTTTGAGCTGTTCAACCAAAAAGGAAGACAAAAAAGAAAACATCCATGAAGGATCTAATTATCAAGATAGGGCCATGGTGGCACAATGGTCAGAATGCAGTACTGCAAACTACTTCTGCTGACTGCCGGCTGCCAAAACTTCAATTCTCACCAGGCTCAAGGTTGATTTCCACCTTTCCACGATTGGAAAAAATGAGACCCTGATTGTTAGAGGCAATATGCTGAATCTGTAAACTGCTTAGAGGGGGCTGTAAAGCACTGTGAAGCGATATAAGTCTATAAGTACTATTGCTATAACGATAATATTGAGTCGTTTAGAACAGGCTGTCAAACTCACATCATCATGGCAGCGTCATGTCTGTTGTGGCTCCTGCCCTCTGAAACATCTTGCCCCTCAATATGAGAGAGATTGGCTCAACCTTCCTATCTTTTCGTAAGGGCCCAAAGATGTTGCTGTACAATGGAGGTGGTTGATTGAGTAACAGATCCCACCTCCACCCACCCATCCCCATTCCGCCCCCGCCCTCTCCATGTCTTTGGTTTTAATGTTCAATTTCATCTTTTAATGATTTAACTTATATGTAACTGTAAGCCACTCAGAGCTGACCTATGGTAAGACAGGTGGCAAATAAACAACCAGCTTTCTTTTACAGATCTGGGTGACAATAATGCTAACTAAGGGGAAATAGATTATTTATAAAGTTTCCCTCTAAGCTCTTTGTCCAGGCCCTTGGTGAGGAACAGTGAAACCCTTTGTTTCATCTTACTAGCCACATTACTTTGCAGGTTTTATTGATTTGTAGGTCTTTGTTTGACTGTTGTGAGCATTTATATTCCAGTTATGAACTAGCCTTCCCAATGCTGTGTCATTTGGACTCCTGGACCAGACTTTTTATTTTGCAATTTTTTTTTTACCGAGGCATTTAAATTTATGTTATTTCAATTCAGAAGCTGCATTTTATTTGTGCTTCTTCCAGGATTGTCTATGCCATATGAGATTTTCAAGTTTAATGACTGTCATTTAATCATATAATAACTACATAATAGTTTAAATTCATTTGCTTATAATAAATTCATTAAAAAAATAGAACAGCAAAGTCACATTTCTTGATTCTTTGTATATGAAAATGTACGCTCGATAAAATCATTTGGATTTGTTCTTAGTTGGATAATGGCATTTATATAGGTCCTGGGGAGATGCTTGAGGTGCAGTCTTGCACAGTTGTCTCAGAATGGTTTGAACCCGATGGACTGAAGGAAGTGATTATGACTGTAAACTTTCCCTTCTGCCCTTTAGATCCATCCCCTTCCTGGCTGGCTAAGTCCACTTGGGGGGTGATGTGTGGATGGATTGTGGCAGTGGTGAATTCATCCTTGAGGGAGGGTTTTGTTCCTCCACCTCTTAAAGAGGTATTGGTCTGCCCCATCAAGAAGCCATATTTGTTTGGTGGAATTCAGAAAGAGAACCTTGTCTATTGAGCAAATAAATAGGCTTTTTACCGCAGAAAATGTTATTAATGATAAATTACCAACCACGTGGGAATACAAATTTGATGAAGACTATGCGTAACTTCCACAATGCTTGTTCCTAACTGAATGAATGCACTTAGATAAATAAACTGATTTAATGGGACCTAAAACTCAAGTCACTCAATTTGGATTCAATCACATTCCTTATTGGGGAAAAAGAAGTGTATAAAAAGTGTATGTAAGGTTTAGCTGATTTTGAATCATTAAACATATAATTCTCCCAATTTCAGTAAATATATTGCATTAGTTCCATCACTGTCTATGGGATCCAACTGAAAATTCATACAAATAATAATTTGACATAAACAATTGATATTCTGAAGTTTGTAAAGCTGTTGTTTTTCAATTCCACTAGAATGAGAGAGCTTAATTTACAGTGCATAATGAGCCCTTATGAGTAATGCCAAATCCTCCCATCTCAAACAACAATGTATTGCTGAAGAACATGGTTAGCACATGTATGAAAATGGGTATGCAATCAGGCTGGCTTTATACAGAAAAGTGTAAAAGTAGAAAAATTAGGGATCTGCTTGCTAGTAAACTATTGCTGTAGTTTCTATGTAAAATTTGCCTGCATGCCAAGAAATGCAGCCAACGTTACTTCTCATACCTACAAAAATGTTTTTTTTCTTTTTTCTTTCCTTTTCTTTTAGAATTTTTTTTTCTCAATGAAATGTAAACGATTGCAAAGGTTTCAATACATTTTGACTTCACTATTTTTTGTTGGTTTTAAATCTCTATAAAACTCTACAACTGTAAAGAAACTCAAGCAGTAGTTTAATTACAAACGAGTATTATTGTTTTGAATATTTTTCTGCTATGTAGAGCCCAAATTCCCTTTTATCCAGAAAGTGAGCACAGGTAACATTCCAAAGAGTTTGTGACCTTTGGCTGGCTTCATATTTAAGAAGTCCAGCTGCATTCCACTAACAGGATTATCTCAAGAGCTGACAAACCATTAGATGGAGAAAGAATTTCAGTGATGTCCTAAGGGGACTATATACCATGTAAGAACATCTAATAATCACAGAGTTAAACAAAAGAGGGGGGGGGGAGAGGGAAGGGTTTCTTAAAATGGAGCGTGCTGCTCTGACAGTTACCCATGTTTCTGCTAATGAAGTAGCTTCACAGTAATCTGAATTGTTGTAAAAATAATTAATTCAACAGTTCAAAAAAAAGGGAAACATTTAATTATGTATAAGAGAGGAAAATACATCGGAATTAATCAAATCACATATGCTATATTTTAAGACAGTACAGTCTAACAACAATTCACTGAAGAATGGGAAGAAGTACCCTGTCAAAGCTATTCCATAAAGCACTGAAGGTCTTAATACAGAAGAAGAAAAAACAACAACACATTCCATCTAGTTTTAGAAAGACACGGGGATCCCACTTGGCCTCCATGTGCTTCAGAACTAGTAGAGGCATACAAAACTTGGTAATTTGGCCAAAGAACGTTCTGGAAAATTTCAAATCATGCCCAACCCTCTTTGGATGGTGTTATTCCGGGATAGTTTCTGGAAGATATTTTTTCAGAACTGAAAGTAAGTTAAGGTGCCCGAGACACAGAATTCTGGACAACATAAACCTGTTCCAAGGTTGGACCATGATGAAATAATTCAAACCAGTGCCAACTCAGAGAATTTAAACCTAAAATCTGTCAAAACTGTCCCTGGAAGGACATAAGTCAGAGAGAACAGGCTATTCCATAAATCTCTGGAATAATGTGTTCCAAAAATCATGAATTTTGGACTATCCTAGAAAGAACACCAAAAGACAAATGCAATAAAGTTAGAAAGACATTTTATTCACTGGTGGTCAAGAACTCTCCCAGGCTGAACAGCTCCCACAATATGCTAGGTAAATTCTACAATGTGAGCTGAATCAGTCAGAATTAAGTACCTTTCAGTGCTCCCAAAAGTTTTCTGGGTGAAGCCGTATCTAAGTGATTATTACCATGATGTAGTGATTTTCAAATGTTTATAAAATTACAGATTATTCAGTCCTCTGGGAACTATTTCACAACTCTACTTCTCAACCCAACAGGATCCACCTTTGGATTACAAATTATTCTTAGGAAGCACACAGCTAAAGCAAAACAACCTATCAGATTTTGCCTAATATGAAGAAAATTTTAAGTATATAAAATTTGGACTTGAAAAAGTCTCATTACCTGGGTGCTTTTCAGCATGCTTGATGATTAGAAAAGTTCCAAGTAATTTATTTAATGACCTAGCTGGTATGTAAAGCATTTGGAAAGTCTTCTTATAATATACAAGCAATTTTAAGCCAATGTACAACGTCATCCTTAGCTACAAAATCATTTTGCAATGTATTTTTCTTTTTCTCAATTCTGAATGTTATCACCAATCCATAAGATTCCAGGTTCTGTATCTCATATTGCTCTTTAATAGAATCTCAAATGAAGAGCTGAGCAAAAACTCTGAGAAAAATGACCAGACTAATAAACATTAACATCAGTGTATACGATATTCAGATGAAAATTCATCTTCCTCTATTAGTTTTCTTTTTTTCAAAAAACTAGTTATCATGGTTTTTAAAAAATAGCAGAAAAGACAATATTCCTTAATCAGAACTTATTTTTTAAAGTGTGAATATAAGTAATCTAAGCAGGGTTTTTTTTAATTAGGGGTTTCTTTCTTAAAGAAATCTAATTAAAAGAAACCCTAATTAAAAAAAAACCTGATAAAAAAACTACAGAAAAAGGCAATTGATTAAAAATCAGCAGAGCTGTCAAAAGTTTAAATAAACAACTAAAAAGTAACAATTTGTTTTAGGCATAATAAAAGAAATACAGCCATAATTCTACTATTTCACTGTAAAAAAATGTGTTCAGCATAGTTCCTACCTTTTCTTTTTAGTGATAATGAGGACATCATTAAAGAGGAAGAAGTATACTTGTTGCTTTGAAGTCCTTTTAGAAAAAAGTCCAGTGTCTTCAACAAATGCTGCCAATTCACCCCGTTTCACTAACCACCGCGAAGAAGAAACCAGTGGAAAGGGCTACAAAGTAAGAAAACTGCAATTTAATCTTTTCTCCAGATTTTCCAACCAGATATTTTAACAATAAAAAGTGTTCCTTCTACAGTTATGAATGCAAAAAGAAGAAGAAGAACTGGCATTTGCTAACCAAAAATATGAACTCTGTTTTTATCTTTATTGCTTTCAGGAAGCACTTTTGTTATTTTCTAAAACATCAACTGAATAATCCCTATTTCATCATAAGAAAAATAAACACAGCTTACTCAGAAAGTTCAGCACTAAAACAAAGCAGAAGTTAAATAAAAATGCACAGAAGGAAGTATCCTACCTTGATTTTAAATTCCAACTGGGAGTTGATGGTATACATCATTTCTGTCCTTTCCATTTTTCGAGCACCTTCATTGCACAGACGAACCAACTGGGAAAAAAAGACATCTATGTCACCAAACACATTTTCACTCAGTACTAAACATTTAGTTTTTTCTTTACAAAGTCCCATCTTTTAAAGGTACACAACAATAAGGGAATCAGAAGATTTTTAATGTGCAACTATCTTTGAAAGAAACAATACAAATAATATAAGAATCCCACTTCCAAAACAGGATCCCTGGGTTTTTATGTTTTTCTTGACAGACCCCTACAGGCACATATCCAAGGTCACTGGCTATCTATACCTTCTTATAGCCACTCACGCCTTAGCTATTTTCCCCTTTGAACAACTGTGATACACTTAGATATTCAGAAGCTACAGCTGGTACAAACTGCAATTGCCCAGGCAGTTATGGATGTATCTGGTGTACTAGATTGACTTCTCTGGTCTGGAAATTAACTGGTTACCTGTTAGTTTCCAGGTATGAATCAAGGAAGCTATCAATGGTTATCACTTTCACAGCCCTATGTTGCTCTACATCTGCCAACATCTAGAAACAAGTAAAGTAATAACTAGCAGTCAACACGGATTTGTTAAAAACAGATCATGCCAAACCAATCTTATTTCATTCTTCAACATAGTGACTAAATTAGTAGACCAGCACAATACTGTGGACATAATATATTTAGATTTCAGCAAGGCATTTGACAAAGTAGACCACAACTTACTTCTTAGTAAGCTAGAAAAATGTGGAATAGATAGCACCACCACTAGACGGACTCACAACTGGCTGGCAAACTGTACTCAACAAATAGTCCTTAATGGGTCTAAATCTACATGGAAGGAAGCAGTGGGGTGCCACAAGATTCTGTCTTGGGCCCAGTACTCTTCAATATCTTCGTTAATGACTTAGATGAGGGAATAGAAGGGGAACTTACCAAATTTGCAGATGATACTAAGCTGGCAGGAATAGCTAACACCCAAGAAGATAGGCTCAAGATCCAGATGGATCTTGACAGACTAGAACACTGGGACATATCTAACAAAATGAAATTCAATGTAGAGAAAAGTAAAGTCCTACACTTAGGCAAGAAAAACCAAAAGTACACATATAGACTGGGTGAAACCAGGCTCAATAGCAGTAACTGTGAGAGGGATCTTGGAGTCTTAGTGGACAGCCAGCTAAATATGAGCCAGCAGTGTGCAGCAGCAGCCAAAAAAGCTAATGCAATCCTAAATTGTATTAACAGAGGAATACAATCAAGATCAAGGGGAGTACTAATACCACTCTATAAAGCCTTAGTAAGACCACACCTAGAGTAGTGCATCCGGTTTTGTTCACATCATTATAAAAAAGATATTGAGACTTGAGAAAAAGTACAGAGAAGAGCAACCAGGATGACCAGGGGACTGGAGGCTAAAACATACAACGAACGGTTGCAGGAACTGGGCTTGGCTAGTCTAGTAAAGAGAAGGACCAGGGGAGACATGATAGCAGTCTTCCAATATTTGAGGGACTGCCACAGAGAGGAAAGGGTCAAGATATTTTCCAAAGTGCCTGTAGGCCAGACAAGGAATAATGGATGGAAATTGAACAAGGAGAGAGTTAACCTGGAAATAAGGAGAAACTTTCTGACAGTGAGAACAATCAACCAATGGAACAGCTTGCCCTCAGAAGTTGTGGGAGTGCCGTCACTTGAGACTTTCGAGATTGGATTGCCATTTGTCAGAAATGGTGTAGGGTGTCCCGCTTGGGTGGGGGGTTGGACTAGATGACCTACAAGGTCCCTTCCATCTGTTAAATCTGTTAAATCTGCCTTCTTCTATATTCCTCTATCCATTCAAACAAACTGAACAGGGTCATCTCCTTCCAGATCCTGTCCCTTCATGATTGTCATCCAATCAAATTCCACTCTCGCAGAGGTTTATCTGGCCCTGACCTCCTGGGCCTTAGCTATTAAGGACCATTTTGTTCCATCCAGCGTAAGAGGAGGGAGTGCTTTGAACGGTCATGAGTTCTAAGCACACGATGGTTATTTTGCTGGTTTCACTTTTATTTTATTTTTTTCTTTGATGTATGTTTGCACTGTAATTTCTTTTATCTATAATTAAACTAATAATTTATGCTCAGTTCAAATTTGAATATATGGCAGCCCATATGTTTCTGAGTGATTCATAGAAACAACAATAAAAACATAAACAAACAACAACACCAGCATTGAAACAGTCAGGGCCCCAAATCAAACATCTGAACATTTCTCCATACATCCATATTTAATTTGACCAGGTTGTATCCTTTAAGTCCTTCTGGAATTAACATCCTGATCGCCTCTTAACTAAGTGACTGAACCCTGAGACTTCCTAGTATTTATTTATTTATTTATTTTGATTTGTCAATCGTTTACAAGATAATAGGTATACGTATATACATAGCTATGAATACATGAAATGGGTACATATAAGAAAAATAAAAGAAACAATAGGACAGGGATGGTAGGCATGTTGGTGTGCTTATGCACACCCCCTACAGACCTCTTAGGAAAGGGGTGAGGTCAATAGTAGAAAGTCTAAGGTTAAAGTTTTTGGGGTTTGGGGAAGAAACCACAGAGTCAGGTAGAGTATTCCAGACATGGATCACTCTGTTGCTGAAGTCGTATTTCCTGCAATCAAGTTTGCTGCGGTTAACCTTGAGTTTGTATCTATTATGTGCTCTTGTATTGTTATGGTTGAAGCTGAAGTATTCATTGACAGGTAGGACATTGCAATGTATGATTTTATATACTATACTTAGATCGGACCGAAGATGGTGTAGTTTTAGGTTTTCTAGGTCTAGAATTTCAAGTCTGGTGGCATAAAGTATTCTGTAACGAGTAGAGGAGTGGAGAATTCTTCTTATGAAATATTTCTGGACTTTCTCAACTGTGTTAATATCAGATATGTAATGTGGGTTTCATACTGATGAGCTTTATTCAAGTATTGGTCTAGCAAATGTTTGTTTGCTCTAGTTAGTAGTGTAATATTACCAGAGAAAAAGCTACATAAGATTAGGTTAACAACTCTTAATGCCTTTTTGGCTATGTAGTTACAATGGGCTCTAGCACTTAGATCATTAGAGATGAGTACTCCAAGATCCTTGACAGAGTTTGGATCATCAACAAGGTCTTGACTATTTAATCTGTATTTTATTTTCTGATTTTTTTTGCCAATATGTAAGACAGAGCAGTCTATAGACCCTCAACTGTAAAATGCCAATGACATTTTTGTATTACTACTGACCTACTTTTAAAAATTAATGCAAAACTTGTTATTTTCCTTACTACCAAAGAAATGCAGGATTTCAGTGCCAGAGAAATGAAAACCGAGTTTTTAAAGCTTTCTCTTTGTCCTTTTTTATTTCTATTGCAAAGGTTAACTTCAAGAACTGTAATAACACAAAATATTGATTCTATTTATTTCCAATCTATATCATTAAATCTATTTCCCAACTAAATCATTAATGAAAAGTAACATCAGATGTTGTTTGGGAAAAAACTTTTTCTAATTGTCACCAAAATATAACTAGTACCGTATATTCAGTAGCAGCCTTACCCAATTTTCTGGAGGACACCTTTGGGAAAGTCTGTTCTCTTTCCCAAAAACTTTGGACCCTTCCCCCAACCACCAAAACAAAAAAGGAAAAAAAAGAGGGGGGGGGGGAAAACCTTTCTGATAAAAAAATTAATCTGGAGTTACTTAGATACAAAGCAGTTATATTTCTATTTCTGGCTATTTTATGTGTAGGAGGCATATTAAAGTTTTTTTTTTTTTCAGTAGCAATGAATTTCAGTGCAAATAATGAGTAATTTGGAAAAAATGAGGAAAAGGCATTTTTAAAAGACCCACGAGGCATTCTTTTTTCTGGAAAGTATTTGTTAGCAAGCCATAAGAAGCATTTTTTATGAGCTAAAGATAAATCAGATTTATCAATTGATAGTTTAGTGACTCCCAGATAGAGTAACAGTATCAGTCAAAAGAATGCTAGTTTGTCTTCTTTTTTGATTCTGAACAGTATGTAAAATGCACCACTTTTTTAGAACTATTACAATACTGATTATATTATATAACATGCAGTATCAACGTGGAGAAATAAATCATTCTTGAATGAACCATTTCTATATTGTTTCCCTTTCTATTTCTATATATTTTATGAAAAATGTTAACACCAGGAATAATTTGCAACACAAATTACTGAGTCTTAAGAAGAATATAATTTTTACTTCTAATAAACAGAGTTTTATTAAGGGTTCTTAATGCAACTCAGATCTATATCAATATTATTGCCTCTACCCAACATGAGAGGAAAGTTAGCACTGCATTCCTATATAATTTTACACCACCAAACAAGTGTTCATTGAAAGCAGTATCAATAAATGCTAATTAATTTACTTTTCAGTGATAAACATCTCTCTGGCAAATTGCCAGATTTGGAGAAAAAAAGCTCATCTTATTGTCTTGGAGATTTGGGGGAGACTGGAATCATTCTCCATTTTTAGCCAGAAACCCCCCCCCCTTTTTTTCAGATTCTCAATGATTGCTGATTGCAATGGAGACGAACTACTTGTTACAGAAGTCCAAGCTATATGACATTTCAATTGTCCTTTGCAAAAGAGGGGGGGGGGTCTTTCTTTTCCATATTAGGCTACAAAAATTAGCAGCCCACCATCCCCAATGGCAATGAATGTAATCAACACTGCCATTTTTTTTTCTTCCTTCCTTCAACATTCTATACACCTCTAGAAATACAGAAGGCTCAGAGACTGTTAAGCTAAATGAAGAATTGGCCACCTATTTAGCTTGCAACAAAATTCTTCTGCAAACGTTAATGTGGTAGATAGTTAATCCTAAATTCTAGCTCATATGATCAGTATACAATTTTAGGATGTCCCTTAAAGGAAATGAATTGAGAATCAAAATGTATGTGAGATTAATGGTGGAATGTGTTCTAAATGCAAACTTAGTGTAGTAAACATTAATACATTCTGACACTATTACATCTGTATGAGATTGCTCTGATGACATGCATCAACCAATATGTATGAATAAAGATTTGACAAACATAAAACCAAATGCTAAATAAATGATAGAAAATGGTACACTGTATTCAACTGTTTGCAGCTGACCAGTCTTGGGCGCCTCATAGGCTATTGAGTCAAATTCAGACACTAAGTAGCTACATATATTTTAGCTCACCACAAAGAGAAAATTAAATTTAAGGTGCAGGAAATTTTTAAAAATGTTTAAAGCTGCTGTAACTGCAAGAGACAACATATTTGATGCTAGTAGCAAAAGCTACAATGCCATTGCATTAAGTAGAATCAGTATCTATGATAATGAGAATCAATACAGTTACAATAGCAGCATGTTGAATAAGGACAAGGCGATCATGTTTATATGATATTCAATAATGAAGATTCCATGATAACTTCTCTTGGTCTCTATAGTCTCAGCCCAATTTAATGCAGAAAGGTCATAAGATAATAGAACACTAGGATGGGAACCACTTATGCCACTTATAACATGGAAATAAAGGTAACTGTACTGTAACCGAACAACGTAATTCATTTTGCTAAACTAGTAGGTCAGTTAACAGTCTGGGAAGTTCTTCATTCTTCTTGCTATCATCATTTTCCTAGATGCAATGAATAATTTTTCTGAAAGCGTTAGCTCCCAAAAGATAGATTTGCCCAGTGAAATTCTGATATAGGTAGTCCTCGACTTACATCTTTTCACTTAGTGATTGTTTGAAATTATTACAACACTAAAAAAATGACTTATGGCTGATTTTAACACAACAGTTGCAGTATCCCACAGTCACATGATCAAAATTTGGATGCTTGGCAACTGGCATATATTTTGGATGGTTGTAGTGCCCCAGAATCATCTGATCACCTTTTGCGATCTTCTGACAAGCAAACTCAATGGGGAAGCCAGATTAATTTAACAACCATGTTACTAACTTGACAATGGCAGTAATTCACTTAACAAGAAAATGTTGTAAAACATTTTTTTGTAAAATGGGGCAATACTTATTTAACAACTGTCTTGCTTAACAATGGAAACTTTGGGATCAACTGTAGTTGTAAGAAGATTTTGAGGAAATATGGAATATATGGAATTCTGACTTCTAAATATGCACAAGAGAATTTCAGCAATAAATACATTGTATTCTGTACAGAGAATCTAAGCATACCTTGCTTACTGCTTTTAAAGCCCTTTTGCAAACTTCGTATTTTGGCAAATCTTTCTGTGTTTTCTGGCAAATTGTCTGAAATAAAAAATTCACCAATTTAGAGAAGTGTTTTTTTTTAATTAGTGAGAGGAAAATGTATGTGATATCTGTATCTGCAAATCTGTATCATGAATTTCATGCAAATATTTACATTCTGGTGAATCAAAATATACTATCTTCTAGACCACCAAGACATTTTGCTCTGAAATGTTTTTTTCTCCCAGGAAATACCTACATTTCACTTTTAATATTTAATGTAATGAGTTGGTAACACCATCTTTCATTCTTTTTTTTCTAGTTTCAAGTACAAATGTCTCTATCTGCCTACCTCTCCAGTTCAATTTTAAAAAGGTATTAAAGTTCCGCATACTGAAGTCTTTGAAAACATTTAGATAGTTAGATCTAGAACAAGATGCCAATTAACATTTTCTCTTTTTAAGGAACATAATAAAAACAGTCTGACCATTAAACCAACATTTTATTAACTTGCTTTTATAAGCAAGCTATGAAAACAAAAGAACACCAAAGCAAACATCTCACACTGATATATTTCTAATAACAAGGGAGTTAAGAGGGTTTTTTTTTTTTTTTTGTGAGAAGCCAAAATGCTATAAAACTGTTCCTGGTAATACGTTTTTTTTAGACCCTTAATGGAATAAAAAGAACCGTTATTGCTGAATTGCAGACCAAAAGACAGCAATTATGTACTCTGCCATAATTTAGCATACCAAGTTATGTTGGCAGAAGATTCAAAACCCTTGGTGACAAAATTCATTGGGTGGTCCTGACCACCCATTCTCACCATTGAAATTATGTCTTGTGTTTTATTTCTAAATATAGCTTTTTATTAATATATTTTTAATTGTTAAATGAAACTATATGTGAACTTATCTGTACAGTACAAGATCCAAACATAACTTTTATTTAATTTGTATCCCACTTTTGTTTTTACAAATAACTCAAGATGGCAAATATCCAACACACCTTCCTATTTTCCCTACAACAACTGACTGGGCTGAAGAGAATGACTCAGCTGGTTTTCACAGCTAAGGCTGGATTAGAATTCATAGTCTCCCAGTTTGTAGTGTATTCCTTAACCTTAATCTCTACACCAAACTGGCTAGTTTAGACAACACTCCCTCTTTTCTTCTTCTTATTGTAATTTGTAATTGTTTCAATTGGTTTTAATTCTTGGATTTTATTATAGCTAGTTTGTGCCACCCTGAGTCATATTGCAAGTGAGAAGGTCAAACATATAAGCTAAATAAATATTATAAGGTATTGTGACAATTGGTTTAAGTATGACTACCTTTAAGATTACCTCTAAAACTTTTATAAGAATTGTTTCAGCACTTGTGCAAAATATAAACTACTGAAGAGAAAATAGCACTAAATAGTCCTATTAAAGTCAACCAGCAGGAAAGGACAAAAAAAGGATTATAAAGCTCTATGCAGAAATTTATAATCCCACAGAAACCACTGAAAATTAAACACCCTAGCAGAATGTTTACTTGCTCCAGTAAAAATATTTCCCAGGTTCCTCTAGACCAATTCTAAATTACTGAAATTATAACAATTCAGCAGCTTATATGATGGATAAGCAAATAAGTGATTATATAATTATAAATTATGACAGCAGAATTACATATATAAACACAATCATAAATAGAACAGACAATTAAAAATAAGCTGCTCTTACATCCATCAGCAGTGGAAGCCGGGTAACCCTTTGCATTGGGAGAATGAGGAAGGATATCATTGGTAAATTCCTACATTCTTCTTGAGTTTCAATCCGCGATAATACTTCCTTGAAGGATGGGTTAGTAGCTCTGTCCAAAATCGCAACAATTTTATAAACATTTTTATAAGTTTTCTTCTGAAAAAATTTGTTTGGCAAATTGTTTTGAAAACATGAAAAACTAATACCAACAAACACATCTCATAAATCAGTTTTGCCCAAAATTCACAAGACTGTTCCACACATTTTCTATTAAGATGTGGTAGTACCCAGGCTAAGTATAAAACTGTTGCCTATGGTTTTTTCAACTCAAACAAAACTGCTGATTAGTTATCATAAAGACTCTTTCACGTGTAAAAACAGAATTCTGAATCTAATTTTCTTTTCTATAATAGATCTGGTGCTAATATGACAATCTTTTCAGTAATATTTTATTTACAGAAAATTAACAAAAACATTTTAATAACAATTGTGACTGAAATATTTTAAATTTTACCTACAATTATATTTATAGTTTACTCATGATGCCTGTAGATAAAGGACAATTTAGAGATATATTGAAATAAATTAATCCTGTGGGAATCACTTGAGCAAACTTAAAATCTCAGTTTACCGTCTCCTTCAATGAGTATGGCTGAAATATTTATTTTTCAAAAAACAAATTTATACACGATTCATAATATCATTTTCCCCAAGCAATTCCAGTGGTAATAGTTTCCACTACTTACAACAGTTTCTGAAGCGTCCGCTGTTGATAGACTTCATTTGTGCAATACTTTATATAAGGGTCAAAAGTCGATGTAGTATGCTTTTCTACAATATCACTGATATCATCTATGAAAATGTTACTCCGATGCCTTTCTTCAAGCTCTGTGAAAAACCTGAAATGAACAGAACATTTTTGAAGAATACATTTAATCACATTTTGTTATCTAAAAGCAAAGAGATTCTTAATTGTCTTTCTACCCAAACAACTGGAACTTGCTAGACAGCCTGTCCTTAGATACTCTGTGTAACTGTAGAACCTTGACCTAATTGTCTGAATTAACCCCCCGTTATTTCTTACTGGCAGGAAAAAATGTCTCTGAAATTTGTCTCTCTGGATGGAAGGTGAACAGTAAATTAACTACAGAGGAGACCACATTCAAAAGATAAATGAACATATTTTATGGGCTACTCAACAAACAACTGTAAGAAACTGAATGGAAACATTTGTTTTAGAAAAATGAATGTTTGAGTTAATTAGGTTCCTTTATTCCTCATTTAAAACCTATGAGCCTGAAATTGGAGTTTACTTACTTCTGGTGACCAGAAATGTTAATAAAGTAGTAGCTCCTAAATGTTTCATTCTCGATAATTCCAGATGGATGGTGATTACTTTCGCTGACCAGCAAGACAAATGCCTTTTCTATATGCATACAGTGGATATAAAAAGTCTATACACTACATACCAAGTTTTAGAAATGTGACTGCTATCCAGATCTACAGGAAGTTATATTCAAGATGGACACACCTCTGAATATCTCTCTGAATTTTTAAGAATTTTTCCAATGAAGGCAATATATTAAAAGCTCTATTATTGTTAAAGGCATTGGGGAATCTGGTAAGGAACTATCTCTGAAATGATGCCCCAACTGACACAACTACATTAACTTAATAAATTTGGTTCTAGTTAAGAATTGCTTCATGAAAGCAAGGAAGATGTTCTATATATTAATAGCTGTTGTAAATTTATGCTTATTTTTAATCTGAAGATCTATGCATGCCATAGAAATAAGATCTATATCTATCTCTGCTGGAGACAATCTGGCTTTGGTTTCTCATAGTGCTTGATGTATTTGGAATTGGGAAACAAGGTATGAATGACAAGAAACTGAATGCATTGCAGAAATAGAGCACCAGAAATACAAAATTGTGAAGCCCATACTATTCTACAGTGAAAATATGTACTAAAGTAAAATAATCAAAATACTACATCTACTGTCATGATAACATCTGATAACTGTCTTGACGACATCTACTGTCATCAAAAGACTAAATAGCTATAAATACATAAATGGTCTTCCTGTGTGGGAAAAGATGACTACAGACACAGCACTGTACGTCCCTATTCAATGGCCTAAAAGTTTTGTGATTACATTCCTGGGACATCCCACAATACATATCTTATACAGAGATAAACTGCAATATCCTCACCAGACGTGATATATGAAAAAATGTATATGTGCTGGCCACAATACCTATTGATTTGTTTATTAACAAATCAGCTGTTTATGAAAGTTTTAAAGACATGTCCCTGTTTCAGCAAAAAAGAAAGTAACTTCTCTATTTAGAGGCTAATTTAATATAAAGCAACAGGTTAATAAATCACAATGATGCAACGGTTTTAGGTGACAAAGGCATCAAATGTATGAGTTTTCAGCCAAGAAAAAGCAAATAATAGCACAAGTGACTCAGAGTTCTTGGATTAGGCAAGGCCAAGGTTATACTGTTTACTCTATGATAATTTCCTTATGTAAGAGGATTTTTGGCTCTGGCATAGAACAGCCAATATTAAAAAACAGATAAATAGTAACCTTGACTCGATTTCAGAAGATTCTGATCTAGTTTTCTAAGAAAAGAGAAAAATATTTGTCTCATATTTATACTTATTTCTTGTACACCATATCCTTTAACTACACTAGATATGTGCAATTAATAGTGTAATCATTTGACCATTATGTCCATAAATTTGGCATGATGTGGAGATGCATTTCATAAATCATAAGCCAGAGGTGTTAAGCTATAGGGTGGTTTAATAAGCCATAACATAACAGTTAACCTAGACTTGGTTTACTTATAAAATAATAAAATAATAAAGGTGGAATAAAAATCTAATAAATAAATAAAACAATAATTTGCATGCTGAAAGTGTTAACAGTGTAATAAAGACTGATAATATGGGTTAATATTAGTTTCATAACTGAAATGCAAATGTTATTTTAATAATAGCATTTGCCATATGAGTGTATTATGATATAATATAGTTGCTTTATTGTTGCACTGACTCTATTTTTTTTTGTAAACAATAGTTTGCCGATGTGAAAACCAGGCTACTAGGGTTTCTTTATGTTTTATGTTTGTATGTTTTAACAGATAACTTTCATTGGCAGTTCTAAGCAAAATTAAGCATCCTATCCCTGCAACTACTACAAATTGTTCAGGAGGATTACCTGATGGAAAGGTGCTTCCAAAATAACTAATCGTTGGGACAAACCATTGTTTTCATAGGCAGCTTATATATAATTGTATCATGGCTAGCACTCAGAGAAATGCGGGGTCCTTGGTGCTTTTGACCTTGGTAGCTTATTTGCAAACATTTCATCGTCAGACTAGGTAACATCCTATCAGCACAATGTCTGCAAGAAAAGTATCAAGCCCAGAAAGCATCAAGGACCCCACAGTTCATCCTGAGCTATAAATATTATTTTCTATTGATACTCAAATATCAAAATGTCATCTAACAGAAAACAACCAATGCTGGAACTATGGCCGAAGTGTTGAATTAGAATGTGGTGGAAGAGTAAAGTGGAGAAGGCCAAAGGGAGAATGGAAATGTAAAATCAGGGATAATATGAATTCCTTGCCATGATAGTTAGAATTGTTCTCCCACTTAAAATGTGGTTATAAAAGTAAACATATAAATGGAACTCTACTCATAAAATATTCCTCTGGTAGTAGAACTCAATTTTTCTTAACAGTAGGATTATTCTTGTAGTTATCCATGAAAATATTCAGTGCATCAGTATATTCAATTTTTACGAAAGAAAAATTTTCTCCTAGAAATGAAAGCTACTGAATATATTTATTCAAAAATAAATATAACTGCATTCAATAAGACCTCTCTAACAAGAACATTTAGTTTTTCAGCTTAAAGAAACTATCTACCATGTTTACTACAAAGAAAAGGATAATTATATAAACTAGTCCAAACCTGACTAGACATCTGTAGGAATTTACAAACATAATTTCGATCACAAATTAAAGAACCATCAAAATATCCGGCAACATAAAAATCAATAATTTCTATCAAATTCACAACCTTACAATAGCATCTACTAATAAGTTAATTGTTTATGCATATGATTCCCATACATCTCTTAAGGGTTTGGCAAAAGCTGTTTGGTTTAAGACCAGAAAAGATATGATTCTAAACCAGAAATGCCTTAATTGAAGAAATCTGTCAAAGCTTTCAACAGTATTTGTACTATGCAATACATGGTTTGCCAAAAGATTAACACAGAACATATATAAATCTACTATAATGGATCTGTATAACAAATATTTAGCATGCTTCATGCTATCTTATAGCAAAGATAGGCAACATAATATGATTTCAAACAATAAAAAAAATGTAAGAATTTTTTTAAAAAAATCATTCCCATGAACATTCTTTTATCTAGCAGGCATGCTCGGTTAAGCTCCATTGATTTTGATACGCCTTAATAACAGATGGAAAATAGCTAAAAGCTCCTTTGATTTAGTTCTTAACTTCTTTATAAGTTGATACTACAAAATTTGACCCACTTGATCACACGTTTATAAATTTGTCCTTTGGCTGAATTGTCTAAAGAAATACAGCAACAAGTACTTGCCAACAATATAATATAAACAATATAAACATGAAAGAATTTACAAATTCCTGGAAGCAAGAAACAACCAGATGCATATCATTAACCTTGGTGATAAAGACGGTTTAAAACATACTTCTTGCTTGCTTCACAGACATCTGCAATGTTGGAGAAAAGATGATGGCTTTCTGTCTTTGTCATTGTAGAACTCAGCTCTTTGGAATTCTTAAACATCCGAATCAGAATTTCTAGACTGAGCAGATATGAATGTTCTGAAGAGATTACTTCAAACATAGCCTGCATGATCGGGGAAACAGGAGTAAATGAGAAAACTAAAGTTATTTCTTTTGATTTTATACAACAAATCATTTCACAGTAATACATTTTCAAAAGGGTATTTTTGAACATCCAGGACAATTATTCTGAATTATAAATTAAAATTTAATACTTGAGTACATTTTTCAACAGTAAGCAAAAATGCAAATTTTAGGATCATTTTATACCTGTTTTAGCATGTACTTTGTTTAAAACAAAAAAAATCTATAAATAAAACTAAGTGAAAAATTCTAAATAAAATAAAAATACCTTTTTGCCGCTGCCTCCACTTGGCCAGTGAAGACACACTAAATATATATATTAAACATGTAACATAAAAAGAAGTATGTATGTAAAAAAATTAGTTAGGATAGATTGGATATCAAAAGGTGGCAAATTTCAATCATTTTTAAGATTTTGGGGATATTTTAAAGAGGAAATGCCAGCAACTTGACTCTTGGGCTCTGGATCTCAATCTCATCCTTTAAAAGAAGAAAAAATTAAAAAGCAAAATCAATCAATCAATCCATAATATTCTAGTGGTAACCCCATAGCATTCCTAATGAGAGCCAGAAGCTGGATGGCTGAGCTGTTGCTTTGAGTTCTTAAAATATCTTCCAACCCCAACTTCAGATAAGTATGTGAGTTATATCACATTTTTCAGATCAGTGTTCATTATTTTTGGATTTTCTTTCCTCATATATTTTAATATATTGATTTCATAACATATTTGTACCCATGCAGTAACATGGATGGTGGATGTGTGTGTGTGTTTTATAGAAATAAAACAAACAAAAAGGAAAGTAAAAAGAAAGAAAAAGAACCTCATTAAAAAATTAAATGTCAAATTACTTGAAAACTAAAAAAAATCAAGCATTGACAAATCACAAATATTAGAAATTAGGAATTAGAAATATTAGAAAACAGCTGAGATAGAATATGAGATTGATTTAATTATTCTTATATTTGGTTACAAAGGCACAGTATTCAAATTTTGGTGGAGGTTAGGGTGCAAAGGACTTACAAGAATCGGTTTGGTTTAGTGGTTAAGGCACTAGGCTAAAAAATAAAGACCCTGTGTTCTACTTCTACCTGAGATAAGAAGCAACTGGGTAATTTATTCTCTTTCAGCCATAGGAAGTCAATGGCAAACCATTTCCAAAAATCTTTGCAAGAAATTGCATGGACTAGTCCAATAAGTCACCAGAAATCAACACCGACTCAAAAGTGTACATGCACATAAAAAGGCAGACCTACATGCAAGTCCAGGGTAGTTAATAAAAAAAATCCCATTTATGAATGAATATGAATCTTAAGAAACAGCCCTTCTATCTACCAGGATGTTTTCATTACCTCAGTGGGCTTTAGTCATTTTTTACATGATGGCTGTACCACTTTCAATAAGATTCTCTGGTTCCACCCAAAATATATATATTTTAAAGTAGTTTTGATGCAGCCCATTCTTTCATTGTTGTTCTTGTTTTTACAATGAATATTTAGCATACTGATTGAGATCCTGGTGTTTCCTACTGTCACTGTTTTTAAACTGGGAGCTTAATGTCTACAGTGAGCTGTACTGTAGCTATAAAGTCTATAAGCATTTCAAGCATGCATGTATGTATTTCCGTTCTTTTCAATCTGCGCATTCTTCTGCTGGGTGGGCTTTGACTCCCAAAGTTCTTGCAGTGATAATTCTGGCTTGGAAACCCTAAGAATTAAAGTCCAAATATCTGGAAAATGTCCAGCCTTCTGGGGCAAGCTGGTTAATTGTTTTCAAGTCCTTAATCAACAACCAACATAAAGAAGATCTTTATAATATGACTAGAGACAACAGAAGCACTGTGACTTACATTCCTGCTATCATCTTGCCCTGAAAACTATGTTTCTACTGCATCTTTTTTGCCTTAAATGCAGCCATAAAGGATTTGCCTAAAGAGAGCAGCAGTGTTCCATGACTAATTTGTTCTGATCTGATTTTTTTTTAAAGAAAGGACATCAGAGAACTCATCTTCAAGACTATTTAAAGATTCTTTGTTCTCTGTCCTGATGACAGCCCTAATTGATTCCTACAAAGCTGAGAAATCTAAGATGAGGCATCCCAGTTTTGAAAGTGTAAATGAGATAGGGGTTAGCCAGTTATATCTGCTTGTGAGCCAAGCAGATAATGAAAACAGCTTTTCAAAGGATTTCAGAAAACTTCCAGAAAATTAGTTTAAAAAAAACCAGAAAAGAACAGGGAGTGTTTGAGCTCATGTATAACCTAGTGATGCTAATTGGAGATGAAGAATGATAACATATTTTCCAATTCTTATTTCTTACTCAAGACAAGTAACAATCTTCATGAGTGACAGTCCAAAATGTAGTTTCAGTTCATCTGCATAACAGCAATGCACACAGATGTTTAAAGCCTGATAGCTGATGAACAGTTGTCAAAACTATTTAGAGATGAAATGTGCACTGAAGCTTTACATATGGCACTGAAGAAGTGCTTACATTTAAAATTAAAAGGGCTTTAAAACAGAAGGCACGCTTTTAAAACTGGTGCTTAGAACCCCTGTAGTAATTACATTTAAAATTAGAGGGGCTTGTATGTAGCAGTTACATTTTAAGAGCTATCTTAGGCCAGATTATTACTCCTTGCATTATCACACAGATTAAGTTAATACATTGCAACAGTAGCATCCGAGGTAAATTGCAACAATAGAATCCAAGGTAAATTAGTATGTACAAAACGTATGGACCTTAAACTAATAAGTAAAGCAAGGGAAATGGCATCAAAGTGTATATACTGTATTTAATTTACATGTAAACATACATATATAGATTATTATAATATATAATTATAATATTAGTATATTATAATATACTAAAAGTGTGTGTGTGTGTATGTGCGTGTGTACAAACACACACATACACA